GGGGAAACAGCTCTCATTGTTTGAACACTATTTGTGTGGAAGTAAATTAATGTGTTGACTGACATTCTGCGGTTTAGCCACAAGATGTCACTGTTGTTCTAACACAGGCTCAGACTGCATAGATATTTGTATATTCATGAAGAGGTGGGGTTTTGCACTCAGAGTTGGAGTTTAGTGAACAGGAAGAGGAGACTGCAGCCATGTTTTGGATGATGCTAAATGAAAGGGGCGTGTGAGCTGAGAATCCGATGACATCCAGGTGTGAATGCGTCCCTCAGTAACCAGAGCTGCAGCTGAGTGAAGCTGATGAGATTGCTGCCAGGAAGCTGATGAGATTGCTGTCAGGAAGCTGATGAGATTGCTGCCAGTAAGCTGATGAGATTGCTGCCAGGAATGCTGATGAGATTGCTGCCAGGAAGGCTGATGAGAGCAGACGAACTAAGCAACATATTACGGCGAGACCGCATGCTTGTTGGAGAGACATTTGTTCTGTTAAGAGTCACTAGCGGATGCAAAGCAGACCCGGGTCGGTAAGATCGTGCATGCACCTCATTTCAGTGTTGGCGCCTTGAGACTGAGTCCAGGCCTATAGTTAGTTAGTTAGGGTCTCTGTTTGTGTCAGGCCACAAGTGTTGTTACTGATTATTGGAAGGACTCCACAACTTAAAGTGACATTTCACATTGGAGAGCTGATAAAATCCTACAAACTCAAGCCAGACTGGCGTTTTGTTTAGAAGGAATACTCAGGCATGTGCTACAGGACCAGTTATGGGAGGGGAATACTGTAGATTTGTGTAAGATTGTTAGCTGTTGCGCTGCACCACAGGCTAGCCCATACCATACACCCATACACTGATTCCTGCTCTTTTAGGGTAATAACAGATAAGGTGTGGCAGCTTATTTGTGCCTGCCAGTAGGTAAATTACTTCACTTTCTACCTTCATCCATCAGGAGGCGCCGTGCTGTGCAGCAGAAGGGTCTCAGCCTTTGGGCTGGGTGTATGTAAATTTATTGTATGTTTCCAGCATTTGTGGTTGTGTTTATTTGCCACATCTAAGTAAAATTCTGTTGTGGTAAAAGCTTGTATTGGGGTTGCTTTCCTCGTTCGTGACTTCACTGTATCCTGGGGAGCCCACCCCAGTACACAGCTTACACAGGAAGAATTGCACTCCTGTGATCCACAGGAGAAGTACATGCCAAAAGAGCTTTGGCTGTACTCCTCCTTAACACTTGCTAGGCACACACTTAACCCCTTGTTTACCCTGTTAACCCCTTTCATAGCCAGTGTTATTAGTACAGTGACAGTGTATACTATTATCACTGATCACTGTATTGGTGTCACTGGTGATGTCTGTGTCAGTTAGTGTATCTCTCACCCAGTGTCATTTAGTGTCAGATTGCCCGCCTCAATAGTTTGTAGATGCTATAACCTTCACACAAAACAATCAATATAACACTTATTGGGATTTTTTTTAACCAAAGACATGTAGCAGAATATATTTGGCCTGTATTTACTGTATGAAGAAATGTGATTTTTAAAAAAAATTGTTTTCATTGGATATGTTTTATAGCAGAAAGTAAAAAATATTCCCCGGAATTCATAAAGACTGGCGCAGATAGATTTTGTGTCTTTCATCCAAAAGTGGTGAAGAATGTGCCAAATTCATGTACCTGTCTAGAATGTGTACTTAAATTTGGCTCATGCTTCACCAGTTTCAGAATGCACTTCTTGCGACACTTTCGCAAAATCTGTCTGAGCCCGTTTTTCTCTCTGTACGCCAAAAGAGATTCGGTCTTAATTAGCTCCACTTTTAAATTTGGTGCATTAATTGTGGCACAATGTAGAAATGGCACATTCAATGCGACACAATGTAAAAGTTGCGCTTTTTAGAATTATTATTATTATTAATAATATACAGGATTTATATAGCACAGTGCTGTACAAAATGAAGGTAGACATTACAGTTACAATACAATCTGGTACAAGAGGAAACCGAGGACCTTGCTCGTTAGAGTTTACAATCTAGGAATTACCTTAATTTGGTGAACAAGTCACTGTCAGAACCAAAAGTGTCGCAAATGCTTCATGAATTTGGTGCAACACAATGACAAAAGGGATTAATGCCAAAAAAAGGGTATAGCAGTTTTATTGAATTCCATCCATTGTTTATTTTTTCAGAAATTTTTTTTTTCATTTATTTAATTACAATAAAAACCCAGTAGTGATCAAATACCACCAAAAGAAAACTCTTATTTGTGTGAAGAAAAAATGATGTAAATTTCATTTGGGTACAGAATTGCACAACCACGCAATTACCAGTTAAGATAGTGCAGTGCTAAATAGCAAAAATTGGTGTGGTCATGATGAGGGTAAAAGCTTCAGGAGCTCAAGTGGTTAATCAACCAAAGTAAAAGCAATGCAAACTAGAAAAGCTACAATTTCTGGGGAAATTGTGTGAAGTGTTCTTGCCTCCACCAGTAGTCTACAACTGGAGTGGGCGGAGTAACTGGGTGGAGTGGCTTGAGTAACTGTTGTGTGGTTGGAGTGGCTGGAGTAACTGTGAAAAGGTTGGAGTGGGCAGAGTAACTTTATGGAGTGGGCAGAGTAACTGTGTGGAGTGTTTGGAGTGAGTAAAGATAGTAAACATTACACTAACCAATTGATTGATCAAATTTAAAAAGTGCACCTGGCAAGCTTGATAGAGTGAAAAATGCATTTCAACTTTTAACTAGAAAAGCTACAATTTCTGGGGAAATTGTGTGAAGTGTTCTTGCCTCCACCAGTAGTCTACAACTCACACTCTAGCTTTTGTCACTCTGCTGCCTGCTCACACACCTGGGTTCCTATGGCAACTCACCATACAGCAAGGGCAGAGAAGAGCGGTTAAAAACAAACTGCTCCAACTTGCTCACTTCATTGGCGGTTGCCATCTTCAAACGGTTGTAGTTTAAAAACTATAAATCCTACACCGAAGAGCTTTATATTGTGAGAATCACAATACCCAGACCTACATTTTGATGCATAGTATGTCTCTGAAATATTAAAAATAAGGGCACAGTCACAGTTTAGAAATTGCCCTTCAAATTTGAGGTGGCTAGAGTGGAGTTTCAATGAATGTCAATGGGTGGCGTGAGTTGCAAACAAATGGTTATATTGTGAAAACTATCAGGACTATGGCTTAGCAGTGGACATTTTTAGTGGCAGCAGGGATAGCTGAACGTTTTGATATAAGATTTGTGTAGGTGGGCTTGAAAATGAGGGAGTGATGGCAGTTTAGACATCATGTCCTGATTTTTCAGCTCACACTCTAGCTTTTGTCAGCTCCCACTCTAGTTTTGAACATTCCGCCATTCATTCCTATGGGACCAATTTCACCACAAAAACGCAGATATTTCGTGAACCATTTGGCGAAACGTTCCACAAAGTAATAGCACACCAATCGGGAACAATCCGCACGTTTCCGTATATTACTGTCTGTGTAGTGTAAAAACTGTGGGAGGAGTTAGGGTGGTAAATTTGGCTATAATAATAAGAATATATATGTGAGATAACAGTAAGTGGTCTTGCCATGCAAGAACACTTAATAAGGTCCATCCACCAGTGAGCTTGTATCATTAGAAGTTTGTGACCACAAATGTTTCACATCCACTTTGCAGTAAAACTTTGCTTGGTCTTGATAAAGTGTGTTTTCTGCACATCAAATAATGTTTGGCTAGGAACTGTTTTTAAGGTTTGATTTTTTAAATGCAGATAGACTGTTTATTTTACAAGGGAAGCTGCACTTTGGAAAGGAATTTGCCCCAGGGCTTAGTTAGTGTGGTGAAGTATCACTTTGCAAAAAATACTCAATCATGTGCAAGGAAATTGAAAAAAAATTTTTTTTGCACATGATTGGATGATGGAAGTCAGCAGATTCACCGTATTCAATAAGCTTCTGGGGATAATTCAGTTGCAAATTGCAACTTTCCTTGCAAAGTGAACAGTTTGTTTGCCTTTAGTAAATTAACCCCTTAGATTCTGTTGAAAGTGACCCTCTTACTATAGCAATACCTGCAGAAAGAAGAGCCAATTATACTTACCTTTCCTGCAGCTCATGTCTTGAAATGCCACTGCAATACTGCTTTGGCAGGATAAGTCAGATACTGGTTTCCCCCGTCACACACACACACTGGTTTCTCCCATGGGCTTGTACATATTGTAGTGATGTACGAGCTGGCAGGAAAAACCACTGCATGTGGTGGGGGTATAAGGGCGTCACACACACAGAAGTGTTAAATAGTTATGGCAGGTGGGTAACAGTGAAGCAGCAACATCTTAAGAAACGGGATACAGGAAAGATAGGTACAGTGCCTCTTCTTTCTGGAGGTATTGATATTTGCAATTTTGACCTTGTGTTGACAGGGTCTTTTAACCACTTCCATACCAGGCCAATTCTGACATTTCTCTTATATGTGTAACAATCTGTGGGTTTTTTTGCTAGAAAATTACTTAGAACACCAAAACATTATATATTATTTTAGCAAAGACCCTAGAGAATAATAAAATGGTGTTCGATTAAATTTTTTATTTTCAGGTGGTATTTGCGCAGCAATTTTTCAAACACAATTTTTTTGGGGAAAATGCACTTTAACCACTTGCCTACCAGGCACTTATACCCCCTTATTTACCAGGCCAATTTTCAGCTGTCAGTGCTGCCGCACTTTGATTGACAATTGCGCGGTCATGCAACATTGTACCCATATGAAATTTTGATCATTTTTTTCTCACAAATAGAGCTTTCTTTTGGTGGTATTTAATCGCCGCTGGGTGCTTTACTTTTTGCGCTATAAATAAAAAAAGTGCAAAAAATTTGAAAAAAAAACAAAACGTTTCTTTGTTTCTATTATAAAATTTTTCAAACAGGTATTTTTTCTCCTTCACTGATGTACGTTGATGAGGCAGCACTGATGGGCACTGATAGGCGGCACTGATGGGCACTGATGGGCACTGATAGGCAGCACTAAAGGGCACTGATAGGCAGTACTAATGAGGTGGCACGGGTAGGTGGCACTGATAGACAGCACTAATGAGGTGTCACGGATAGGCGGCACTAATATGCAGCACTGATAGGCGGCACTGATAGGTGACACTGATGATGGGTACTGATAGACGGCACTGACTGGCATCACTGCTGGGCACTGACTGGCGGCACTGACTGGCACAACCCCTGGGCACTGACTGGTGGCACTGACTGGCAGCACTGCTGGGCTGCACTGGTGGGTGGCACTGGTGGGTGGGCACAGGTGGGTGGCACTGGTGGGCACAGGTGGGTGGGCACAGGTGGGTGGCACTGCTGGGCACAGGTAGGTGGCACTTCTGGGCACAGGTGTGTGACACTGCAGAGTGGCACAGGTGGGTGCACTGCTGGGCACAGGTGGGTGATCTGCTGGGCACAGGTGGGCGGAGCTAGTGGGCACACTGCTGGGCACAGGTGGGCGGAACTTGCGGGTGGCACTGCTGGGCACCGATCATCAGGGCACTGATCATCAGTGCCCTGATGATCGGTGCCGATCCCCGCTCTGACAACTGCCGGTTCTCGGCAGTACTTTCCTCACGATCTGACAGCGTGAGGAAAGTGCAGCCGAGAACCGGCACTTGCATTTCCCTCTGATCAGCGTGTCATTGGACACCGCTGATCACGTGGTAAAAGGCCGCTGTGATCGGCCTTTTACCACATCACGTGATCAGCTGTGTCCGTAGGACACAGCGATCACGGAGATCGCCGGGTGCGCGCCCCCTGGGGCGCGCAGGAGAGCGCGTTCTGGGAGGCCGTCATATGACGTCCACCCAGAACTGGCCGGCCGCAGTGCAGCCGTCATTCGGCTATCTGCGGTCGGCAACTAGTTAATGAATTTTAAAAAAACCACAAAATACAATATATAACCCAATTTTATGTAACATATGAAAGATTATGTTACACCGAGTAAATAGATACCCAACATGCCATGCTTTAAAATTGTGCACTCTTGTGGTGCAAAACTACGGTGTTTAAACATCTCCATATGCAATGCTTTAAAAATGTTTACAGGTTACTAATTTAGAGTTATAGAGGCGGTGTAGTGCTAGAATTATTGCTGTCACTGTAACATTGGTGGCAATTCCTTACATTTGGTGAGAATTCTGTTTCAATATGTGGGTGTATGCATTTGCCACTGCGTGCCTCTCTGTCCAGTGAGGAGAGAGAGGTGCTGCTTTTGTATACATTGCTGGAATGAGATGGGGCTCAGTTAAGTGGTGGTGTTAGGGGGGGTAAAGACGAAAAAAAAAATCTGACTTTAGAACCACTTTAATACATTTTATTAACTACATTTTTTAAATAAAACTTCTGTTTTACTAGGAAATATGTGGTCATCCTCCCAGTCCTAACTCCCTGTTGCTTTCTGACCACGTTTGGCATTGAAACAGATCCATCCTAGCATGATCAGTTTGTGTCCACCCTTCAAACTTTGTAGCTTCAGGACACTGCAGATCACAGTGTGCCTGTAAGTCCTGTAGTTCCCGGCTGCTGACATTCCCCCGCACCCAGCTTCCACCTGCTTGCACACCCACCACCCGCTGCCTGCTGACATGCCCCCCACATTGCCATATGCTGTAAGCAGGGAGTATCCAGGGATATGTGACATTGGCAGAAATTGCTACTCGTAACAAGGAGTCTCCACCACCAGCACTCAGATCCCCGGTTAAATCTCCAAATTGTAGTCTCGTGACTGCTATGAAAACAAGGGGAACAAAAGGTATTAGGATTGTTTTTCTTTCAATTTTACTGTCCTGATGTGCCTGATATAGTTATGTAATATGGTGCACTTTTTTTTTGTAAATCAAAGGCTTCATAAACTGTTTAATTTCTGTTGGTAAAGACAGTGAAAATAATAAAGATTTAAACTGAGCATAGATGGTCAGTTTTTGTTTTTTTTATTCAACCAGCCAGCTGAATGAAAAAAAAAAAAAAGAACTAATGCAGGCCATACATGGTTTGAATTCCGAACGATTTTTCGTACGAAAATCGAAAACGTTGTTTGCTCGGTAATCCGATGGTGCCATGAATGATTTCGAATATCAGCTGACCAAGTCATAAAATTCACCCCATATAACAGACGAAACTTCTGTTCCTTCCAGGTTCATGCACATATTCTTTTCGTAAAAATGATTTGACCATCATTGAGTCGAAAATTGATAATTTTTCACGAATTTTCCGACATGCCCGATCACCAAAACGGGAAGGAACCGCAAAAATCGGCCGGTGCCATTGACCCACTAACAGAGCGAAAATCGTCTGATTATTCTTAAGTCGGACGAAAAATCAATCGAATTTTGACCCATGTATGGCCGGCCTAACAGTTTGTTGTGTGGATGGAGGAATCCCCCTTCAAGACATTGCATTCTGGCAGGGGTTCTTGCTGCTGTCAGAATACGTTGATCAGCAGCTGCAGCCAATGGATTCTGGATGCTGGTCAACAAAAGTTTTCCAGGGAGGTCCACACACTGATCAAAATTTGGCCAACCCCTGCTGAACCAGCCACATTTCTATCCGTCTATGCCCAGCTTTAGGATAGTTATACCAGTCAGGCAAAGAGCATTTTTAAAAGAATTTTAGCTCTGAAAGACAGCTTATTTCTCTCATGACACGTTTCATTTCAAAAAGATTTTTTCAGATATAGATGTAGATAAACCACTCTCTGCCAATCTGGCTTAGACAAAATGGCAAGTGTAAAGGTAAAAGAGAAAGTGCATTATTGAGATTAAACATAGACTGGGTGAGATTTGCACTGACAAACTGTGAAAGTTTCAATGCAAACCTGCTGACACCAACAATCTGTGTTGGTCTTATGACTATGCTAAGACAAAACTCAGAAAGTTACAGAATACAGCACTGAGAAAAACTGTGAGCATTTAGTCTTATACGAGACAATTGCTGACCGTGAAACTATAGAAAAACAGTTTGTTGTAACTTGAGGGAAACCACAATCTTTATTTACTTGAAATGCTCCAATTTTAACTGAAAGCGCATCCTCTGTCTGCTTAAAGGCTTAAGTAAGGCTTCTGTGCTTCCTTTGATGCATTGATCATATGTGGACAACTACATAGAATCATACTGTTATACCCGTGAATTACTGACAAGTGTGGTTTGCTAACATATATTCAGTAGAATGTACTACTGTAGTGTACACTCCTCCATCTGAATATACTGTACATTAGCTATGCAGTATCATGCCTAAAATAACAATATTTATTTATTTCAGGTACTTATATAGCACTGTCAATTTACGCAGCGCTTTACATATATATTGTACATTCACATCAGTCCCTAACCCTCAAGGGGCGTACAATCTATGGTCCCTAACACACATTCATATACAAGGGCCAATTTAGACAGGATCCAATTAACCTACCAGCATGTCTTTGGAGTGTGGGAGGAAATCGGAGTACCCAGAGGAAACCCACGCAGGCACAGGGAGAACATGCAAACTCCAGGCAGGAGGTGCTGTGGCTGGGATTCGAACCAATGACCCTAGTACTGCCAGGCAGAAGTGCTAACCATTTAGCCACTGTGCTGCCCGATATGATTTTCTCTAATGTTTTTGGGTCTTTCTAACCGTTTTTAGGGATTTTTCATGAACTGTGTACTAATATAAATAAAGATGACTGTAAAAAAAAAGCAATTAAGCCATACCAAATATTGCACAGGGAGTATGAAAGTGCACATGTATAAATGCTGTACACTTGCTGTGGCACATGCGTGTTTACTTTTCTGTGCACTGCTGCTTGGAGTTCCGATGGTTAGTATCTGTATGTCTGCTAGCTTTTCTGCTCCAACAGCAGGGAGCATGGGGTTTTTTGACCTGCTGCTTTGTTTGGCGAGTGCACATATACGGTAATTGTACAGTGAACAGGCCAGTTAATTTTTTTGTTTTTTTTATCAGAAGAATTCAGGAATTCTGAAAAAACTGGTTATACTGCTGCCTACAGAAGGGACAAAAAAAAAAGTTAAAGAGCAGCTCAAGTGTAACCCCATCTCTAACAACAACCATGCCTCAGTTTAGAAGCTATCTGAATCAGGGTATCTTTAGCATTAGCTTTGGAGCCCATTTCCAGATGCCATCTAACTGGCAAATTGCAGGTCTAGCTTGGAATATGACTTTTGGGCATAAGGCTTTGCATTGTGGTACTTTCTAGACCTTTATGTACTGTGATAGCTGCAATGCTGTCTGTGTCCAGGGCTATGACACAGCCTCTGGTGTGACCCAGTCTCTAAAGGCTTACTTAGTGAGTAAGGCTTGTTGGGCTGAAGCAGTGAGATTCCCTGTTCTGTTCCAGTTCCCACTTACAGTGACTCAAGCACCTCTTGCTGTCTGAAACCTTATAAGCACCAGCTGCCCTGATTTTAAGTACTGGAGGCCTTTCCTTACACTGGGCGTAGATGCATACCACAAGATGTCTTCTCAGAGACACACAGAGGACAGTTCCACTGCTATGGGAATGTTTGGAAAGGCTGCTTTTGGGTCAGCATTGTGGCCTGCAGTTGTTTTTTTTTTTGACTGAGTTATAAAAGTGTTGTTGCAAACTTTATTGATGCAGTGTGTATCACCCTGCATTTGGAGGATCAGCCTGTTGGTATAGGCCTTGGGTCTTGGCAATGCATACTCTCAAATTCTAACTCCCGATTGGATCATAGGTCCAAAAGCCACAGATCGGCTAACACCTCTGATGAAGGTGCATCTCCCACTTCTATATGTGGGGTGCTGTTTGCAAAACGTTGATGGGTCTCTGGGCATTAGGTCTCCTTGGCTTTTTGTTGCCCATTATACATCCTCTACCTCAAAGGCAAAAATAGTTGGCGATGGAACCTATTTCAGCTGCACTATTCCTGTGCTGCTACATGTAGCTGTGCCTTTACCCAGGCCTCCACAGGTTCCCCTGGGACCACCTGTTCCTGTCTTAGTGGAATTTTACCTTATTATGTAGAAAACATCAGTATGTAAAATAACATTTTATTTCACAATAACAGTACTAAAACGTGTAGAAAGTAAAAGTTTACAATATCAAGGAGCAGCAAATCTCTTTCCATGTGATCCATTTCTTTGTAAGCTTTGGGTTCATTCTTATCGGCTTGGGCTCAACGTGTTGCATGGACTTAATCCACTTCTTCAGGAGCCATCACCATATAGACGTTTTACTATGGGTGTAAGAACAAATGCAAACAAGCAAAAAATCACAAAAACATATTTTTCCATTCTGGCATAATAGAGCATCATATTGTAAGTGCACCGGGAAAGGGGAGAGAGAACATAAAGGAGGAGAGGAGCAGTACCCCCTGGAAACCCAAAGTGGGGAAGGAGAGGATGCAAGCCACATAATGTACCCATAAATATATACATACATCAAGACCCATAAATGAAAAGTTACCTCCAAAAATAGGTGGCTTCAGATACGCTAAGTGAATGGTATAGAGACCCTCCACTCGTGGACTTATACCGGCCTCTATTCATATACTCCTCATACCGCAAAACAATTTCCTCCTAAATGGTAAATATATCATTTAAAACCAACCAATGTATTAATGGAGTATGGGGGGCTGGGCAAAATAAAATGTGTCCAACACCCACCTCTACACTTGTATCCACTTCATGGCAAAATGCCTAAAGTGAGCTTCTCAGAATAGATCGTATGCCAGTGGCTGGCTGCTAAGCAAAGCTGAACACTTCCTGTGTGGTAATAACAACACATGGTAGAAACCTTTAATAATATTTATATAGATGTATTATACTGTACATCTTTCATGGCAGATTTTTTTTTCCTAAAGCTGATTATTACATTTTTTTTCCTTGAAGACTCAATGGCACAAAATCCAATTTCCCAGAAGACCAATCTGAGCGTACTTTAGTAACTTCAGGAGCTGAAGGAAGACTTCCTACTCCAAAATTGAAAACCTTTGGACTGGCCCAAAGGACGCACCATGATCTAACAACTCCAGCCGCAGGTAATGTTTTCCAGAGGACAGATCTATAAAATGTACTCTGGATTCATAAAGATTAGTATTCTATTTTTTTTTAAACATGTTGCACTATTCTTATTTTATGTTAAGAAAAAATATATGTTGTATACTCCACCTCAAGAGTATGTTTCCTACAAAATACATGTTTATAAAAGGTATATTTGAAAGTAATTTTTGTAGATTGCTATTGTGGAATGCAGGGTCAGATTGGCCACTGAAACTACCTGAAGATTCTCTAATAGTCCTCAAGTGGGCCTGAATATCAAAAGTTAATAAAAAGCATGAAAAAAGCAGCTTTATTATCCTTTTATACCCTTTATGTCATAAAATAGTTTAGCATGTATGCAATGGAAGTAAACAATATATTCCTTTTAGAAAGCATTATTTTAAGTCCTGACATTAACATTTTTACAGCTGCTGTTTTTGGCTTTTGACGTTTTTTTCTACAGCTAGTAAACCCCCCAGCATGTTATCCTATGTGTCCATGCACACATAGACTGTAATCAACATTTTTTGACTGGGACATTTTTTGACTGGAAAAAAACCCCCCCGGACTAGTGGGTTTCTAGAAGAGTTTTTTAGCTGTAAAAACGCTCTAATGCTGAAAATTGCGGTAAAACGCCACAAACCAGCATTTTGGGACTTTTTTTGACCAAAAACATTTTTTTTTATTTTTTGGTAAAAAAAAAAATCTGCAAACGTGGGAAAACGTTGCTAAACGCTAATGAAAAAACGCTAAAAAAAGCTGAAGAAATCACTAAATGTGGACTAAAAAATATGAATTGAAAAGTTGGCTTTACCACAGTATTTACTGGTTGGCAAATGGTTTAATTTTTTTGCTTCCCAGAACTTTGCTTAAGTTCCAACAACAGTTCATGTATTGCAGATATCCACACAGGTAACTACGTTACCGACCTACTAATTATTTCATCATTTCATAAGTGAGATACCTGCAAAGCGTAACATGTTGGAGGGACTTAGAAAGCACTTAACTATTGTATGTACATGAGACATTTTTATATACTGTATACATTAACATGAGTTTTATTCCAGCATCCACAACATCCCCAACATATTACATATCACCCCTTCGCTGCTGAAATAGTTGCTACACCATATATGTAGGACTGTGTGCAACTGGTAGGAAAAAAGCTTCTTAGCAGTTGACCCCCCTCCACAGCAGGATGGGCCTGATGTTAGGAGTACACCTCCAGCATCTTTTTCAAGTAGTGCACTCCCTTTCTAGCAGCAGTGGCTGAGAGAACGCACTGTGCATGCACAGTGTTTGAATGATCCAGAGCAGTTACTGGGAGTGCACTTCTAATGTTTGGTCTGTCCTACCATTAAGGCGGGGATGGAGGGGGTTAGCTACTGGGAAGTTTTTTTGGACAGGATCTATGGTGCCTATATGTTTGGAGGGGTCCAGGAGCAACCTGAACAGCAGAAGAATGGTATGTAATGTGTTTGGGATGCTGGAATGCATGTTTTTTTTTCTTTCGTGCAAGATATCCATTGAAAGTTAACTAACCCTTCAAAATTTTATTTTCTTTACAGCCCAATTTGAGACAGAACTCAGTAATGTGAGGTTGATTAGAATCAGCATCATGCTTTTATTGTTGTTTGCAGCTCCCTACCTATATTACACTGGTTTCCTTATTTCTTGTTCTGGTGTCACCAGGGAGGCAAGTGATAGAGATCAGTGACAACACAGACAGCATTAGAATTCCAACAGAGCTTCTAAGTTTTCCTCACGTTATCCAGTATTAAAGAGCTTTTGATGTAATTAGGTTTAATTCCTCATTCACATCTTTAGGATCCCCGTTCACAAGATTTAGGATTGCGGGCAGAATCGATGAGATTCTGCCTGCAATCCCACATTGCGTGTTTGGCACCCCAAATGCAATGCAGTTCTGCCGCGATTGTCACGCAACAGCATAGTGAGGCATTCAACAAATCGCACCTTTGAACATCGCATGAAGCTTGTTGCCCGAAAAGTAGTAGGAGCTTCTTTTCAGGTGGCAAATCCGCATAGGCTAGTCCATTCAAGTAAATTGACAGTTCCTATTCGACGCGCAAAATTCTGTGCAAATCGCTAAAAAATGGTGAGCTCGAACACTTGTTATAGCTTCGCAAAAGTGTGAACGAGGCCTTAGTCTAACCTTGTGTGTTTGTAATTGTAGTAAAAAAAAAAATTCAATGGAGTATTATTTTGTTTTAAGGGGGCGCTCTGTTAGTGTCACCTTCAAAAAATCATCACCATACACCAGAGGATAAGCATAAGGGATCTTCTAAAAAACATGGCTCCCCAAAGAAGACTGTCTTCAAAGGTGTAAATGAAACAAATTCAAAAAGGGTAAGGAAAATATTTTATTCTGGAAGTCACAAAACTGTGAGTATTTAATATCGAGTGGATTTAGTAATTAGATGATCATAGTGCATGATTAATATTTCATGACACAATCTGTGAAGGTTACATGACCATAAATTTGTCATAGGAAAACATATGTCAAGATATGAAGAATGTGAAATAATCCACAAGTGACGGCCAAACTAGAATACTGACATCAAACTGAAAGCAAACCATGGAAATTCTAAGTGATTTAGGCTGGCATAGATATCATCCCAGACTCTGTGACATTTTGAAATAATTTAAGTCGTGCTGTATGGAAAATGATTGTCATCAGATGAATTCTTATACAAGGAATTTGTGTTGACAAATTTTTAAGACTGCCATTGCTGACCTACTATATTGAAAATTCAAGTTAGCTGACTGTTAAAATACAAGTAAATAATTAAAAAACATTAAGTATTATCTGTGAAAGGTAAAGCTGATCAAGTGTGAATAGTATGATTATTACAATGGCTCATTGGTTACTAGTTATTCTTAAAGTCCACATTGGGCACAGCACTACCCCCCCTCCCCTCCACAGAAGCTATTTTTATGGCTATATTCTTTTTTTACAATTACCTTTCTGAAGTCTTTAGGTCAGTCACTTGATGCTGCAGGGTCCTCTTCCTCTTTGCTTCTTCTCCAGGCTGGGTGGTCTGCAATGATGCAGACAGGGGTACTTACATAATGACCTTAGCACTGTTCTATACACTCTTACACAGTTATTGCATGGTGCTCTGGTGACACCCACTTAGGGATTCAGGCATATGATGCCCTCACAAAATATCCCCAGTCTTCCAGGGTTAGTGATTCAGAAAAAATGAGGAAGGGTTGTAACAGCGCAAACACTGCAAAGTCCTTGGAAATAGTTGTATGGGGTGATCGTGGTATTAGTGGCTACTGTATGAAGAGCGTAGGATTCCGTGTGGCACTGAGGGCAAGGCTTCCAAATAAGCTGTAGCAACCTCTGTAGATGAGAAAAGGAGAGAAGCGCCTCTAAGTGCAATAAGTCTTTTTATTCAAGTCTAAATGTAGAAACACTCACATGTGTGAAGTAATCATAAGCTTAAAAACCGTGGTTAACAATAGTTAACGGTGGGGTGGTAACCCGGGTGAAGAGCCGTCATCTTACTGCGATGTGGGGAGGTCAGCTCTCGGCTGGAACAGCGTGGTGGCTGGAGGGGAACAGCGGTGAGGCCGGCCGCGTGCACGTCCTCCCTCAGAGCCGGACGGAACACACGCTGGAACGCAGCGGCGGCGTGTGGTCAGATCCCAGGGTGCACTGCGACGCGTTTCGGAGCATGCGCTGGCCGTGGAAGGCGGAAGTGCGCTCCTTTTTCCAGCGTGCGTTCCATCCGGCTCTGAGGGAGGACGTGCACACCGGCCGGCCTCACCGCTGTTTCCCTCCAGCCACCACGCTGTTCCAGCCGAGAGCTGACCTCCCCACATCGCAGTAAGATGACGGCTCTTCACCCGGGTTACCACCCCACCGTTAACTATTGTTAACCACGGTTTTTATGCTTATGATTACTTCACACATGTGAGTGTTTCTACATTTAGACTTGAATAAAAAAACTTATTGTACTTAGAGGCGCTTCTCTCCTTCCAGGGTTAGTGACACTGGATGCCAAATAACCTGGAAGACTAAAGATATTTTGTGTCAAAAAGACAGCACTGCAGGGACAGCTCTGGATTATAGATTTGCAGTTTGAGCTATTTTTTTTTGCTGTGGGCCCAATTAAAAAAATTCCTGGAGTTAGGCTTAAATGGGAACAACAAAGTCGGCAATATTGCAAGACTGCATTGCATATTTTTTCAGTAGTTTAAGATAGCACGTTTTAAAATGTACGGTCTTCAGTCATTGTATATTGAGTGTTCTCTGCTCATACCTTTTTTTAAATGACTGAATCCCAATAGAGATTGATTGTAGATAGTGGAGTTGGGGATTCAAGGAGATCTATACGATCGACTTGTGGAGATGCATTGTGGTGTGGCGTCAGTAATTAAACAGTCTGGTTGCAGAGAACAAAAACTTGCATTGAAGGAACAGCTCAGCTTACAAACAGCCCAGCAGGAAAAGCACCATGACATGAAACATGGTTCTGTGCAGCTTGGAGAGCAGATTCAAATGAACCAACATTGTCTATTTCAGTGGAATGCGGCCTGACCGATCTAGTCCCAATATGGAGTCTTCCAGAAAGGGTGGCTTATCTCTAGCCTGTCCCTACTCCTCTGGTCCTCTCTCTGTCACTAATCGCTTTCTCTGTCAGACAGATGCTCTTTCCCTGCACTATCCACTATGCAAAATGCATGCAGAAACCTGGGGCAGGGACCTAAAAAGGCTATGTCGACCCAAGATGGCCACCAGGGATCACCTGGATGCAGTGTAGCCAAGCGAAACGCTGCCCCAGAGGCCCAGAAAATCATAGAGAAATGAGGGTTCTCTTGACTTCCTTTCTAGCTACAGTACTGCTACAGTCAAGCACCACCTACAGTGGAGGAAGCAAACTGCACCTGCCTACATACTTCCGTGCTGTCATTCTTAAAGCCCATCTCCAGACTCGCCGTATTACCACCTCCCCATCCATCCCCCTCTAATTGATCACTGCCATGATTAAAAATACCCTTTTTACTTACCTAAAGCCATGGTTTGTGATGCTCTAGTCCTGAGTCTTCGTCCTTTATCTGTTTACAGAAGACAGGGTTCTTCTTTAGGTACCACATTACTGTCTGCGTTACAAGGCCCCTTTCTAATATTTTTTTAGTGGTGATGTCCTCTGAGGATCCAGCAGAGAAGTCTGCAGTAGTGACATCAACAAAAGGAGTCTGTTGACGACTTGCCAACGTAGCCACATCTGCAGTTGAATTTGGAAACAGAGCTCGCATGGGACGCGGACAGATGACTTAGATGAATATGTCCAAAAAGAGTAGTGTACTGTGTAGAAACCACAGTAACAAGATTTGTACAAACCTAAGGACATGGATGGATTGGGCAATACACCTCTAGAAAACACACATTCGGATATATCTAGATGTGCTCTTATTTGCACTTTCAGATATGGGAAATATTATATCTGCTACTATAAAGCAGACTGACACAAGAATATTGTACTTGTTTCCAATATTCACAGCACTGTGTTACCATTCGATTCAAACTAATAATTTGTCTATGCTGCTCTTTGGCCAGTTACTGTTAAAGGATTATTAAAGGCAACATTTTGATTGAAATAATAAACATCTTATACTTAGCTGCTCTGTGCAATGGTATTACATAGAGTAGCCCCAAACCTCCTCTTCTGGGGTCTCTTGCTGACTCTCTTAGCTCTTCCTCTTCCGTGTCTGTCCCCATAGCAAGCGCTTGCTATGGTGGGCAGATGTGTGGGATTCCGAGCTGGGCTCTGTGCGTCCATAGACACACACAGCGTGGCTCAGCCCTACACCTGGTCACACCTCATTGGATTTAAATGACCTTTGTGGGGAGATGGGAAGAGCTGATACTGGAAGGTTTTTTTTTTACTTAATGTATAGCTTAACACATTGAGCACAACAAAATTAACATTTTTCTAAATTATTTGTTGCAGTTTTTTGTCAAACACTTGTAGTTTGACACTTTTAATGCTGCTAACTCATGTTCCCAGTGTTGCTTTCCTGAACTTCTGATCTGCACAGGCGAATGTTAATCGTGGACAGTGCAGTTTGGAGTCAGTCTGTTAGCTTAGAGAAGGGAAGGGGGAGGCGCAGGGGAGTGTCTTGCCATCCTGGGCTACAGGGCTGTGTTTTTCTATTAATGCACACAGTGTAGGGAGACAAAGCTCTAGTTCCTGCATGAAAGGGTGACTCCACAGACTACTGCAAGAGAAAGGAGCTACCCTAAAACAGTAAACTTGGGGCAGCAGGCATAGCACCAGCTTAAACAGGAACATAAGCAAGGATTAAAAGATAAAGATGCTGCATATTCAGTAGATAATTCAACTGCTGAAAATGTCTGTAAAAACTGAGGGTTTAATACCATTTTAAAATATTCAATATTTTCCTTCTCAAGCAGCCACAGTCTGGGTAGAAAATCTGTTCCCTGCCAGCAACTGCAAAGTGGAGCCATTGCTGTCTGTGGGGTGCAGTTTTCTTATTACAAATATCTGACACACACCCCTAGCTTTTGCTCTGATTCAGCAGGGCTTATGACAGGCCCCCCTGAAAGAGACCTTTTCTTCCCCACAGTGAGCAAGAGTCCCACTCTGTAAGACTCAATAAGAACTGTAAGACTTTGCATATCTTTTGTTTTGATGCACCTGGAATGTATTTAGCTAATACATATAGCTAAGTGGTATATTTTGAATGTTAAAAGCATACAAAATATATGGTATGATGGAATAAGAATGTAGATAGGTTTTGGAGTAACATATACAGGTGCAATAGCTTAAAGGGAACCTGTCATACAAGGTATGTTGGCTGCCACTGCTGACCTCTTTCTGAAAAGGTTAGTTGTTTTGCTGCCATGATGATCCTTCGGCTTTTCCTGGTCTATATTCTTGTTCCATGTCAGTGACTTAGAACATTTTAAATTCACTGGGTCAGCTGTACACATAAGGATTAATTTGCTAAAGGAGTAGTGTGGCTGTTCGAATACAAAAGTGAATGTTCACTAAGCTTAGTAAATAAAGTTTTGTTTATGTCATTCATCCAATCATATACAAGAAAACCATCATAGTTTTTCTAATTTCTCTTGCTCTCTTTGCTTTACAAAGTGGACACTTTGCACTACTTTAACGCCAAAGAGAGGAGTTGTTGACATTTGCTTGCTGCAACACGGGCATAATATATTTCACTTGAAAATGTAAAAAAAAAAAAAACCTACCTTCCGCCCAATTTAATTATTAAACATGGATATAAAAAACCTTACCCAGATTGTCAAAGGCTGAAATTGCTCCTTAACCATCTTATATAATGACCAGGTGGGATTTTTTTCAGCAAGCGTCGGATAATGTTAGCGGCATTATCCTTCTTAATCATTTTGCTCATAGACAATCTCAGGAATTTATGTTACATTCTTTATAGAGACATTATTCTGGTTATACCTAAGATTGGTTTTACAATGATAGCATCTTAGTGTTGATTGCTTGCATTGGATCGATGCAAATTATGACTCTTCATCTGTGGCCAGCACATACCATGGTTTAAAGTCCACATCCTTTCCAATCCAACAAGACACGCAACTGGGATGCTCATTATCACTCCTTTTGCCTTAGAACCAGTAGCAGGACACATTTGGCAGAACATAGACATAAAATGATTAGAGATGGTGGGAGCTCAACATTAAACTGCTTTATTTGCAGACACTATTTATTGTACATAACATCTCTCTCCCAAACTTGCTTGCACTTCTTTGCAAACTTGCCTCCTTATTTGGCCTCTAGATGAATCACTCTAAATCCAGCACTCTGAGTTTTGCCCACTCCCGATCTAACCTACAAGCGCTACAAACACAGTTTCCATATACAGTAAGTGATCTTCTATACTTCCATAATTTGGCATTACACTTGTGTCCACTTATGATTCTCTATGTAAAGCAAACATGCACCCTGTTCTCAATCATCTTAGAGAATCACTTATCTCATGGGATTATACCCAAAGTTTTGGTTTGGTCTCATTCATACCATCAAAAATATTTGATTCCGAGTCCTACCTATTCAGATACTCTTACACCGTACATTTACTTTGAATCCAAGTCTTAAAATGTATCTGTGGCCCTAACAGGCCCAGGCTTAATACATGCACTTTGTATAAATCCAATGTTTGTGGAGGCCTGGGTGTACCTAACATAGATTACTATTACAGAGCTGCCAAGATTACACCCCCGGTCTAATTACACTCTACAGCAAAATCACCATTATGGATCTTTCTGGATGTATTAGATATCTTCCCAGTTTCCTCATCCTCTCTCATTTGGATCCCCCCATCCTTATGTCTTACTTTATCCTTGTCTATCTGGGACTCCAATAATATTCATCAAGACTCATATCACATCATTTCCCTTTACTTCACCTTTTAAACTGTCCCCTATTCACCCCTAGAATAAACAGAATCTGCAGCTTCAGATGGTGGCTCTTTGCTTAAAAAAAAAGTTCTCTTACAACATTTGACAACTCATGACAAAGGGAGTGGTGTCTCTTATAGTTTTTTATTCTTGGTAATGTGTCTACTCATGCCCCTTCCTACTGTACTTGATAACAGGACCTTAATAAAACTCTTATTCATCAAGACTCATATCACATCATTTCCCTTTACTTCACTTTTAAACTGTCCCCTATTCACCCCTAGAATAAACAAAATCTGCAGCTTCAGATGGTGGCTCTTTGCTTAAAAAAAAAAGTTCTCTTACAACATTTGACAGCTCATGACAAAGGGAGTGGTGTCTCTTATAGTTTTTTATTCTTGGTAATGTGTCTACTCATGCCCCTTCCTACTGTACTTGATAACAGGACCTTAATAAAACTCTTACCCAAGAGAAGTGGATTGTGCTCTGGATGACCCTCAAATGCTCCCAGAGTGTGCAAGCTGTGCAGAACTCTTAAAAATTGCTGTCCCACTGGTAATTTATAGCAAAAATATATCATGTCTTACCCGGCTTTCTGCTTCAGAGAGTGCCGAAAGACTGGGGAATGCTCCACATTTGGTCCAATGTCTATAAGAGTATACACAATTATTGATTTGATCTTATAGTTTGACCTCCAAAAAGATCTATGGCAGGCCCTTCTTCATAAGCCCATGGACAACATCCCTTGTCATAGCGAATACTTGTAACACATATCTTTATGGCCATCAAACAAACTATAGCCCAAGCATGGAAATCCTATCCCTCAACTTTGAAAAGGTTAAGACTAGAGTTCAGGGTACACTTGAATGAAAAATTGACCGCCATATAAAAAGACACCCATGATAAACCTACCCCACCCTCACCTAACGGCCATCCTCCCTCATTCCTCCCACCACTTCATCCTCCTCAGCCACTTCATTCCCCTCAGCCACTTCCTATTGTTCCACTACCCCCTCCCTCCTAGATTGTAAGCTTGAAAGAGTAGGGCCCTCTAACCCCTCGTACGCTGTCTGTTTTTGTTGTACTGTGCCATGTATTGTCCCCCCTATTGTACAGCGCTGAGCAAACCCTTTGGCGCTATATAAACTCGATGTAATAATAATAATAATAATAATAATAATAATAAATTATTTCAGTCTGGCAACTATGGCTTAATTTCTTCCTCCTCTCTCAACACACTTCATGAATCCTTCTACTCTGAAATTTAGGGGCTAATGTTTTCCCTTTTTTTTAGCACCCTAGCAGCCTCTATGGTTCCTTTCCTCTTCCTTTCTATCCCTCCCCTCTTTTCTTTCTTGTTTAACACTTTTCCTTCTCACCCCTCAAACCCTCTCTCCTGCACATTTTCTGCATCTCTCCTTTACCCTGTAAGCCAACTTTTTCAGTTTTTTCTTTCCCTGCTCTTCCATTCCACCCCACTTTGTTTTTTCGGCTTTTGAGCCCACATTTCTACCATTTGAAACTTAACCTCCCTGGCGGTATTCCCGAGTGTAGCTCGGGGTAACATTTCAGTACCAAAAGCGGTAACCCCGAGCTACACTCGGGAATACCATGCGGCGCTGCTCCGGTATTGTTCTTCACTTACCTTACCCTGCGCTCCCACGATGTGTCCCTGCAGCGTCCCCGGCCATCTCCTCCGGCCGATGCCGGCATCCGGCTTCTGTGTTGTCCCTGTGACGTCGGGACGTACGGGCGCCGACGCCGGCGGCGGCTTTTAAAAAATGTCATTTTTTTTTTTTTTTTCATTTTACACAGTAAAACATTGCTGTTTCAACCTATTTCACATACATATTGTCCCTAGTGCTTTGTCCTGGGCCCTGCCTGCATTTTGTCTGTTCTTTCTGCCTGGAAACTGAGAAATGTCCATGGCGTCCAAAAAGTGTCCCTTTAGGTCAAAAGCGGTTTAGATCAGCTAGAGAACAGCGATAGTAAATCAGAACCACTTACAGAATTGAGTGATAATGATTCGTGGGGGGAAATTCGTCATCAGAAACTGAAAACGATTTTGCGACTGAGCTCAGCAATGTGCGAACTTTGGCGCTCTATTTCACATTTCAGTGTTGGTTTGATTATATTATTGAATTAAATTTTTTATTATTTTTATATTATTTTTATGATTATTTATTAAATTATAATTTATGATTTTGAGTGTTTCAAATTTTATCATACCCGGGATGTTTACTAGACTCTTGTTCGGACATTTCAGATTTCATTTGTGAGTTTTTCCTAAAAAATTACAGCCTACAATAAAAAAAAATACATATTTCCATGCAAAAAAATGGTACCGCTTTCAGCACCAAAAATCTGAAATAATCATACCGCCAGGGAGGTTAATAAGGGGAACTGTTTTTTTTTTTATGCACACTCAGATTGGCTCATCAGTGATTATTGTGTGACATGCGCTTGAAGAAAAGCCACATGCACTCCTGGACATGTTTTTGTAGTATTCTCAGATCCAACATTTTATTCTCGTTTGCACCCTATGACAATATGATTATTGAACATCTAAATATTTGGTATCCAATTTGCTTCAGTGTAACTGTTGCTGTAATCTCAGAGCAATATTTCTTATCATGGTCTCTGCATCTCAAAAAAATATGTTTGGTACCAAAATATGCAAAAAAAAAAAATTGGGTACTCTTTTATGGGCATAACTATTACTTCCTATAGCATGATAAAGGAATCCCTTAAATTTTTGTCTGCAGCTTTTGGTTCCTGGGTTGAATAAAGTAAAAAAATATTATCATACTAGGGATGCTATTGATTATATTTAAAAAAAATTACATGTAATGCATGTAATAAACCAGTGATTAATATTTTTTAATATGAGGCACTGCCATCTAAATAATATTTTTTATCTGCATGTTAGGATTATCAGCAAACTGTGCAGTCTCCACCAGTTGCTGGTCTGAAGACAGTAGATCCATTGCCACTTCGAGAGGATCCCTGGCCAAGTCCATGCATTTCCAATAAGCCTTTACCTGCAAAAATCGCATATCCTGTCAGCAGACCTGTAGAAGATCCTTATTTACCGTTACCTAGTCAGTGGAGTCCATCATGTCGAATACAGGGAGCACTGCGAGATCCAGAGTTCCAGCATAATGGTAAAATGAATGGTTACATGCATGTTAAAATAATACTACAGCAGACATTAGTCAGATTACTTATGACTGATCAGTATGCCAGGCAGGGGCAGACTGACCATTTAGAAACTCGGGCACTGCCCGAGGGCCTGGGTCAGTAGGGGGCCCCATGAGATGCCCTTGGTACCTTTTTCATAGGCTTTTTTGAGTTTGGGCAAGGACACAGGGGCCCCATGATCCCCTATTGGCCGGGGGCCCCATGAGTTGTCAGTCCGCCCCTGATGCCAGGATATTATAAGCACAGGGAAAACTATAATCCCTTAGGTCAAAGACACACTAAAATAACATAAAAATATAGGTAATTTTCAAAGATCAAGATTATCCATACGTACATACAACACATCTATAATGTTCACATATGCACATTTAAGACCCCTGTTATAGTGCAATGTTATGTGTCCCTGCACACAATAGAGGTTTAGGAATAATTTTAGGTACATCAGTTTTTCTTCAACACTAAAAAATGAAGAAGTACAGTAAATCTGTGTAGTGAACTTTCATTGTTTACAATTTTTTGTATCTTTTAATGTTCATGTTACTGAAAAAATAAATGTTTTATCTAATACCTTTTATATTTAGTACAAGCGATTGAGATTATGTTGTGTTTATATGTGCAAATGATTATATTTTTTATTTTTGTATTTGAAATATTGCTTTGACTTAATTCAGTCTTACTGTCTTAATTCTGTTGTTTCGTTCAGAAAATTTACATTTGGGGGGTCTTTTACAAACTTTCAAGTCAGTAACTTTTATGTGCCAAACAGCAAAATTAGTTTAGCCATCTAAAATGGCAGCACCCAGTACAAGAGAATTAATACATAGGGAAAAGCAAATCATTTTAAGATTTTCTGAAAATCACCTTTAAGATTTATCTTTGACATGTAATGAGACTGAAATGTAATTTATTTTATTTTTAAGAGTGCTGGAAATGTATACAAATAAAAATAGTGCGTGCCAGTGATATTGGTTAAGATCACATGACTATGAAGTTTTAAAAGTGAAATAAACCTTTATCAGTCAGATAAATATTGGGGTGGATATATACTGCAAGAGCAGTTGCACTCAGTTTCCCCAGAGTCTTGTAAAAAATTTTTTTTTTATTTTTACTGCACCTGATTGCGGATTCTTCACAAAGTGAAGCTTTACCACATTACATTTACATTTACATTTATTTTTTAAGGAAATGAGTGCAACTGCACTTGCAAAGTGCACAGTCTATTTATCTTTAGTAAATCAACCCCTGTGTGTCCATATCCTATAATAAAACATTTACATATTTATGTATTCTTTTTAATGCTTTGTTTACAGGGAACTTTAACATATCGGCTTCTACAGTTCTGCTATAAATGATGACGATAGCATTGAAGGTATGGACATATAGGATGAATATCTATATTTTGCCATATATATGGTACCATAACTCACAATTAGAAAAACAATGTTTTTTTGTCTGCTGATATCAAAATCATGTTTTTTTGTTTTTTTTTAATAAAAAATAAAAGATTTAAGAAAAAATATATTCATTTTAGCTTTTGTTTTCCTAAAAGAAAGCTGCTAGTTGCTTGACTGTCATGCTGAGGATCTGGCTTCAATATTTGTATCGTTGTCTTGATGAAGTATGCAGATGATGACCACTAACATTCCTGATTTGCATACTTGTTCAGGGCCAGAAGAATTTTAGAAGGAGGTCAGCGGTGGCAGTCCCGTATTTTTCTCAGAAAAGGTTTACTTTAAGCATTCATCCATATTTAGGGAAGACTGAAAGTAATCATTAACTGCTATTATCTCATTTTTAAACCAAGTTAGATTTTCAGGTTGCAGTTCAGCTGTATAATGAATCTTATTATGAACAACTAACTTAAAGCCCAATTGAGTATAGTCAGTTTAAATCAGCTAAATACATTCTAGGACCAAGAAAAAGTGTGCAAAGTTGGCTTTTTTTAATAACAGCCACAGCCTAAACTGAAAAACATGTTGCCTGTCGGCATGCTGCAAAGTGGTCCCTGTGGGGAAGCAGTAATCTCTTTGCAGAAGTTCCACACACTCCCTGCTGTGCCAGTTCTCTCCAGTCAACAGAAAGCAGAGCTACAGATCTTATTCAGTAGGGGGAGTGTCAGAATTGTACAGAGGGACTACTGCTTCCATGTAAAAAGCAAGGGTCCCACTCTGCAGCTTCTAGCAGCGGACAGGCTTTTCTTCTAAGGATGAGGCTGCTTTAGAAAGAAAAAGGTCTGTAAGCGCCAGTTCACACCGGAACACCTCCTCCTTCCAGTGCAAATCCTGTTCCATGTGACTTTAGCCCATTCATTTGGGCTGAATCTCACTGGATTACAGCATAAATAGTGTGTGCAGTACTTTTAAAAAGCGCACTGCAACTGGATCGCATGGTATTGCGGTACCATTCAATCTAGTGCAGGAAAACACACTGTTTTCCATCTGAATTTGGGGGTGTCATTAGGAATCTATTCTACAGCCACAGCAGATTGCACACCCGGAGCATTTGGAATGCGGTGTGGGAAAGGTGCAAATTTAGTAAAATATGTTGGGTATCACCTTGCACACTGAGATGACAGGAATAATTCTAGGGCCATCATTTATAGTTAACTATAAGGTGTCCTGTCTTGACATATTTGGTATCTGTTTGCAAGGTACCATATTGGAAACCCTTGTTGGTTCCACTACCCAGGATTGGTGCAGCAAGGGGTGCATAGGAACATCACTGTTTATTGTGGGGTGGATCTTTTTTACTAAGGTGTTCTTTCTGTAATTCTTTGAATCTTTTTTCTCCTGGATGTGGTCCCTGTGGAGGTGGGAGTATATACCAGGACTGGTTCTTACCAGCTGCATTCTTTCAGAATGTAATTTTTGATGCATAACTTTTAGTGTGTGTACAACCTAAAGAAGTGGAGAGGACAGTGAAATGCATTGACAAAAGGGGTCTTAGTATGTGATGGTACAAGAGTATTGGAAATGTAATCTGTATAATACACAGGGCTGGTAGGTGTAAAGAGGAAAGGATTGCCGCTGCTCCCAACTAACTCAGGTGAATAAATGATAAAGAGCGGCCTCAGCCTTTTGGTCTTCACCACACCACACACCCTGATGCATTTTGTCCCACTCACTGGGGCTTAGTCATAGGGTTTCTATGACCCTATGCCTAAACCCCCAGTAGACAGGGTGAAATGCATCAGCGTGTGTGGTTTGGTGGAGACATATAGGCTGAGGCCGCTCTTTATAGCTTATTCATCTGGACTGGTTGGGAGTAGCAGCAATCCTTTCCTCTTTACACTTACTAGCCCTCTGGATTGGTATTAGGACAAGCCTGCACCCCTTGTTCTGATACACAGGGATATGCTTTCACCTCTTTCTTTGAACGGTGCCAAAATCTGTCTAACAGGTCGCACTGTATAATACACAATTTTGAAAATGAGTTGAATGACAGGATCTCCTCTTCCCGTTCATGGAACTTGATGCATTGTGTGATAATTGTAAAATGAGTTCTATGAATCAAGAAGTGGAAAGGAGGGGGCTAGCAGGCAGTGCAATGCTTGTAGGTAGCAGCAGCTTCTTTATACAGAAGATAGCCACTCAGGGTAGTATCTAGCAACTGTGAAGAAGAATTTTTTATCAGAAGCAACAACCTACAAGTAAAGGGATACAGACCAACAAACAATAATAATGTGTTTTGTTCTGTATCCCCCTCCCCCCCTTGTATTTGCGTTTATGCTTCGCATAGTGTAAATGGGGCCTCAAAGTATTCAACTCTTTCATTTGCATTTTTTGCATAACTGTTAGATACATACTTTAGGCCTGAAGATTACTTAATACCTCCAAAATCTTACATATACGGTATTAGCGCAGCTGTTTATCAAACCCATATTTTCAGTAAAAATTACAATTAAATAAATTTTAATATACACAAACACATTATAATACCAGATTTTTGGTAAAAATTTAAAATATGAGTTTGTATTATATAAGTAGATACCAAAAATGTCAAACTTTATTAACTTAAGTACAGGTGACAAGTTCTCTTTAAGGATCAATTGGACCCCTAATGTAACCTCTCCACTCCTTTGAAGCTAATCAAGAACTGATTGTTTCTGATTACTAAACACCACTTAACACCGCAGTTTGGTGAAACACCAAATATAACTTATTCAGTTGTAAAAGTGAATGTGTATAACATCCAAACAACTAATAAACAAAAATTGTGATATGTTGGCTGCAGCCCCCTTAAAAATAAAGCCCACATGTCAAACAAGAAATCAAGAAGTGTCCATAGATTCCAGAAGGCATTAAATGCCTGTAGCCTTGGTGATCAGTGCCATCTGTGCTTGCTGCACACAGTGAATGCCAGTGCTTATGAAGGACCACAATGTCCTGATCTACTTTATAAGTGTAGGAAATAAAAAAACTGATTGGACCAGGCAATGGAGCTGATTTACTAAAATCAGTTGAGAATCAGTGAAGAGTCCAATTGTGAAAAGCAAATATCTGTTATTTCAGATGTAAAAAAATGAGACAAAGATAAATCATTTCAGAACTTTTTCCACATTTATTGTGACCTATAAACTGTACAACTCAATTGAAAAACAAACTGAAATCTTTTAGGGGGGAAGAAGTAAACATAAACATCTAAAATAATGTGGTTGCATAAGTGTGCACACTCTCTTATAACTGGGGATGTAGCTGTGTTCAGAATTAAGCAATCACATTCAAAATCATGTTAAACAGGAGTAAGTACACACCTACCATTATTTAAAGTTCCTCTGATTAACCCCAAGTAAAGTTTGCATCCTACAGCAAAAGCCATGCTCCGCAGAGAGCTTCCAAAGCATCAGAGGGATCTAATTGTTAAAAGGTGTCACTCAGGAGAACAGTGCAAAAGAATTTCCAAGGCATTAGATATACCATGGAACACAGTGAAGACAGTCATCATCAAGTGGAGAAAATATGACGCAACAGTGACATTACCAAGAACTGGACGTCCCTCCAAAATAGATGAAAAGACGAGAAGAAAACTGGTCTGGGAGGCTGCCAAGAGGCCTACAGAAATGTTAAAGGAGCTGCAGGAATATCTGGCAAGTACAGGCTGTGTGGTACATGTGACAACAATCTCCCGTATTCTTCATATGTCTGGGCTATGGGTAGATTGGCAAAATGGAAGCTATTTCTTACGAAGAAAAACTTCCAAGCCCGGACACATTTTGCAAAAGCACATCTGAAGTCTCCCAAAAGCATGTGGGAAAATGTGTTATGGTCTGATGAAACCAAGATTGAACTTTTTGGCCATAATTCCAAAAGATATGTTTGGTGCAAAAACAACACTGCACATCACCAAAAGAATACCATACCCACAGTGAAGCATGGTGGTGGTAGCATCATGCTTTGGGGCTGTTTTTCTTCAGCTGAAACTGGGACCTTAGTCAAGGTAGAGGGAATTATGAACAGTTCCAAATACCAGTCAACATTGGCACAAAACCTTCAGGCTTCTGATAGATAGCTGAACATGAAGAGTAACTTCATCCTTCAGCATGACAAAAACCCAATGCATACATCCAAATCAACAAAGAAATTGCTTCACCAGAAGAAGAATAAAGTTTTGGAATGGCCCAGCCAGAGCCCAGACCTGAATCCGATCAAAAATCTGTGGGGTGATCTGAAGAGGGCTGTGCACAGGAGATGCCCTCGCAATCTGACAGATTTGGAGTGTTTTTGCAAGGAAGAGTGGGCAAATATTGCCAAGTCAAGATGTGCCATGCTGATAGACTCATACCCCAAAAGACTGAGTGCTGTAATAAAATCAAAAGGTGCTTCAACAAAGTATTAGTTTAAAGGTGTGCACACTTATGCAACCATATTATTATCATTGTTTATTTTTACTTCCCTCCACCTAAAACATTTCAGTTTGTTGTTCAACTGAGTTGTACCGTTTATAGGTTACATTAAAGGTGGAAAAAGTTCTGAAATGATTTATCTTTGTCTCAATTTCATCACAGAAACCTGACATTTTAACAGGGGTGTGTAGACTTTTTATATACACTGTACAATTTACTGAGTGAAGAATTTTCAGCTCCTTTTAGTAAATCAACCTCAATATGTAACCTTACGACAGAGCCTTCGCTATAAAGTGGAAGTAGTTGTAATATTTAACTGATATTACAGTTTTCTTTATATTATGTGGATTTATTTGGCCTTTGCAAGACAGGTCCACCCTTCTTATTGGAATTTCAATTTATTTTATATTATGGAGAATGCAGGAATCGGGTTATGCAAAACTCCAAAGTCAGCAGAGTCAGGAAAAGTGCAAGAAGTCTTCCAGAGATATAAAAAAGTAATTGGTGAACCTGGTGAAATATCACTTTTGAGTTGACTGAACCTTGAATTTAAATGTTGTGTCTTTTTTTCCATTCTAACAATATATTGAATGGTTTTATGGCTTATTGGTTAATAATTTAGAGATTTTTGGAAATGGCTGTCATTGTTGCATTTTGCTGTTATTTAAAAGGTTTTCTAAATTAGATGTGTGTTTTATGACTGGCAACTAAAAGTGATTTCATGAAACCTACAGTTCCATTTATCTGCGTATTTGTGTGATAAATTACAGTTTTTTTTTTAGTGACTAATAGCATCTGAAGAATTAGCCCCTTTACCTTTTTTTGTCAATACTTTGTTTTTGTAAATACTTATACTGCCATTTTGTTTTCAGATGATCGACTTTCCCAGATCTCTGCTAGGTCAGCAGCTTCTAGCTCTTTGGCCTCACAAGTTTTAGAGCGTGCTCAGAAAAGAAAAGAAAATTTCTGGGGTAACAAATGATCAGCTGATCCATCAACTTCTACTTATAAAATATTTTTACAGAATTTGATAAGCAAGAAAAAATGAGGTTTAGTAATTTTGTAAATGATATTTGTATTTTTCTTCTGAAATCCTGGATAAATTTGTACATTTTTGTAATAATGGATGCATTATCTGTGTATTATGATTATATTTTTTTTTTAGTATTTTAAATCCCACATGTGTGCAGTTCCCAATGAAAACAAGTCTGGATAAACCAAACATTTTTATGAATGGGTTTTTCTGTGAACATGCCTATTCTGTTTAAAGCTGAACTATAGACAGATACAACAGACACAAATAATGCTGCTCTGTAATCATTAACATATCATTATAGGAAGTGGGTCAAATGATGCTGGCCATCAGACTGAAGTGGTGAAAAATAAATACTGTGGAAGAAAGCTCTGTGAATATTTAATATTTTTTAATGAGCTATTTATTTTTATTGTATTTTTAGCTGGAGGTATGCTTTAAAATACACCCATTGCCAAAATATCTTTTTTACATTGGGTAAAGTGGTTACCCCCAATGGGGTAAAACCCCTTCCAGGTTTTTAGTGCTGTCCATGTCATAGCTAAAAACAAGCACTTTTCTGATAATCAAATAACTACTACTGAAACCATGAAATAGTTTTCCACACTAACATTATCTTTCATCATCATCATCATCATCATTATTATTATTATTATATAGTATTTATATAGCCCTAAAAGGTTTGCTCAGCTCTGTACATTATAGTGGGGGACAGAACATGAGACAATACAGTAACAAAACAAAACACGAGGGGGTCAAGGGCCCTGCTCTTTCGAGCTTACAATCTAGGAGGTAATGATAGTGGTAATGATATGGGTGTAACTAAACGTCTGTAGTTTTGATGTAAGAAACAGACTCTGCAAGATCTCATTATTTATAATTATATTTCACATAATAGGACAGTTTCTGGCAGCCAGTAAATACATCAAGATGATAATAGATATAACAGAATTATTTTATATTATCATGACGTTGCAACCACTTTGAAGGTGATCACACCATATGGGCTGAACTCCCAGCAAAAATGGCACAAGTTTACACACACTGAAAAATACTGTATTATTAAAATTCCCCTCAGACCATTTTTATGCCAGCAGTATCCCACAAATACAATATCCCAGCTATGTACAGTCAAGTCTGTGTTTACCAAAGTAACACTTGTGGGATAGTACTTAGATAAGCAGGGTTAGAGGAGCCAGCATAAGCCTCAAAACATAAATATTGTAATAATACATTCTGTCTTGTTTTCCTCTTCTGGCCACCTCTTGGACATTTGTAACTAAGTTCTTCATTAAAACTATAGGGGTAAAGGAGTGCAATGGTGAAGAGAGGAGTCTGGAATTTTTTAAAGCTCAGGAAATAGGAAAACATATCTGATTTGTACAGTTGAAAAAGCACATAAAGCACACCCTAAAGTGCATTATACCATTATTTTTTACTAAAATAATCAGTTGAAACAAGCAGAGGAGATCTATAAGAAAGTGTGTGCCTAAAACAATGTTTTCTAAATATGGCCCTGGTTATTAGAAACGGTCCTGGCTACATTCATTCAGAATTGTTTAAGATTGCTACTAATTTGTTTCTGTGCACTGCATATACATTGCTCAAAAAAATTAAGGGAACGCTGTGAAAACACACCAGATCTCAATGGGGAGAAATCTCATGCTGGATATCTATACTGATATGGACTGGGTAATGTGTTAGGAACGTAAGGATGCCCCATAGTTTGATGGAAATGTAAATTATCAACCTACAGAGGACTGAATTCAAAGACACCCTGAAAATCTAAGTAAAATATTATGCAGCAGGCTAGTCCATTATGCTGAAATTTCATTGCAGCAATTCAAAATGGTACTCAGTAGTTTGTATGGCCCCCATGTGCTTGTATGCATGTCTGACAACGTCAGGGGATGCGCCTAATGAGACGATGGATGGTGTCCTGGGGTATTTCCTCTCAGATCTGGATTAGGGCATCACTGAGCTCCTGGATAGTCTGAGATGCAACCTGGCGGTGTCAGATGGACCGAAACAAGATATCCCAGAGGTGTTCTATTGGATTTAGATCAAGCAAGCGTGGGGGCCATTCAGTGGTATCATTTGGTGTGTTTTTTTTTTTACTGCACCAAGCATGCACTAGAAATGCAGTGTACAGGACTTTTAAAAACTCAACTAATACACAACTGTCTGGTGTGAAGAGTTCCATAGGATTTCATGCCCATGCATTTTTCTTCCCCTTTTTCTATTGCAAAAACGGAAGAAAAACTGATCAGTGTGAAATGGCTCCTCATCCTTCATTAATAGAAAGACATCTCTGTTTTAGGGTTGCGTATGTTGCATTAACCAACTGGTGCTTACACACAACTAAAGTATTGGTTTGAGTGGTGATTACTTTTAAAGGGATAGTTCACCTTTACAGAAAAAATGTAAAGGTGAATTAAAGTGGACACTCGCCTTACCCCCGATACCAGCTCTGCTTACTTTCCAGTTGCCGAGCTGTCAGCACCCCTGCACCCTCTCACTAGTGGTATGGGGATTTGAAACCCTAGTTGTTCTCCATCAGCGCTTCCACAACAGACCAAATGGATTCTGATTGGTCAGCGCTCTCACACTGAGGTAAGTAGAGTATGCATTGGGAGGAAGGGGGTGTCTGCTGTTCATTCACCATTACATTTTGTTATTTTAAATTTAGCATTTTTTCATTGCCCAACTAAAAGATTTTTTTTATACAGCTACGCTTCAGTTTTTACCCACTTTCCGCTCGGCCTACAGTAATATGATGGACAGGCGAACCTCATGTCCCTCCGGGAAGGCGTCATATGACGTCTTTCCCGGAACGCGCATTGCACGTGCTCGCAGTGCCATGCTGTGTCGAGATCTGTCACAGGCTGTGTACCTCGGACACGGCCGATGACAGATCTGTGTACCAGCCTCGTTGCCTTTACCATGTGACCTGCTGTGACCAGTCACAGCAGGTCACATGACCGTTGTATACAATGGATGGCTTCCTTTCATGCCATCCATTGTATACTAGTGTGTCTAGCTGTGAATGGTCACAGTGATCACATGCACAGGCTGGGCCAGTCACAACCCATCTGTGTCATGTGATTAGCCGTGGCCAATCATAGCTAATCACAACAAAAAAAGCTGAATTAATCGATTTCACCAGTCAGTGTCCCTGATCACCGCCATGACAGTTATATGATGACGCTGTACTGCACTGGTGACAGTATGTAAAAAAAAAAAATTGTGAAAATAATTTTTTTTAATTTCATTTTCTGAAAAATTATGACAAAAAAATTACAACTTCAAAAAACTCACCATGCCTCTTATGAAATACGTTGGACTGTCTACTTTGCAAAAAGGGGTTATTTGGGGGATATCTGTACTGTTCTGACATTTTTGGGCCTCAAGAAATTAGATTGGCCGTCAGTACTTCAGGATTGATCAATTTTCAGATATAAACCATAGTTATACAGTCTAAATAATAAACACTGATTTGGGTTATTTTCACCAAAGACATGTAGTAGAATACATCTTGGCCTAAATTTATTAAGAACAATTATTTATTTGCAAACTTTTATAACAGAAACAAAGAAACGTGTTTTTTATTTTAAATTTTGTTTTTTTTTTGTTAATTTAGCAAAAAATAAAAACCCCAGTGATGATTAAATACCACCAAAAGAAAGCTCTAGTTGTGAAAACAGAATGATAAAATTTTAGTTTGGGTACAATGTTGTATGACCGCGCAATTGTCATTCAAAGTGTGAGAGCACTGAAACCTGAAAATTGGCCTGGGCAGGAAGGGGGTAAAAGTGCCCGGTATGGAAGTGGTTAAACTTCTACTTCAGGTTTTTTTTCTGTGCATTGTAAATCTAATAATAACACTAAGAAGAAGAAGATTGCAAACTAGCATGCTATATGATCAGCCCAAGCCAATACTTTGTCATGGTCAGCACTGGACAAAACATCTCTTAGGCGGTGAGAGTTATATTTTTTTTACCATTTACTGGATGCCTTGCCTGCAAATATCTACCTTTACCAAGAAGACAGGAATGTCAGGTTTCCTGTTGAAACCATAACAGTCTACAGGCCAGAATGAAACTGTATACACCTTTTAAGTGAAACAGAGCAACAAATATGTGGCTGTTTGTGCAGAGTGTTCAGCTTTTTCTTGTGAAAATGTTAAAGAGCATTTTTGTCAAATACTTTTGAAATTTGCTGTGTTTTTATTTTTGTAAATGTGATTGATTAAATGAAAAAAAAAAACTGTTTAAATGGAGTGTTATTTTTATTCTGTTTATATTAAAGCATTGCTGTTATATTGTAGTTTAATGATTTTGTTAAGTTTGAATTATTCATGATGTTAAAGAAAGTAAAATTATTTTTAATTAAAGCTAAGTATATATTATTTAATTTATTTTTTATTTATTCAGAGTATCATTGCCTCATTATAATTGCATCAGTTACACTATGACATTGAAACTTAAAGGCTTTGTAAACCGTTTGGAATCATATTAAATCATCATTGAAAATAGTGTTATGTTTTTGCCATCAACATACAGTATAACATTTTTCCAACCTTGAAAGTTTCATGTTGATGTGGGACTTGCTGTGTTAAAAAAAAACATATACCCATGCTGTAATTTATGTGTTGATTTTAAAGAGAAATGTGCTTGCTGGCTGCATACAGCCAATCCAGTCTACACTAAAAAACCCTGAAAAACAAACAGATAACAGGCAAATATTTTTTTCTTTCCAACTTTTGTTAGAGATTGCCACTGCTGTCATCAGTTGGAAATTCTAGTACTCCCCATACCTTATTAATAAAATATTATCAGTGCTGTCATGTTAATGAAACATCATTACCACAGCTGTGCAGAATTGCCACTGACATGCTGTACTAAGTCATCATCGCTTTACTAAGTAAAATTAAAAAAAGAGTGTACTGCCTTTCAGAGATGCTGAAAGCTATACCGGACACCCCTAAAAAAAAGCAGCCTGGTCGCCAGTGCTTTAACATGTGCTCTTTATCATCAAAAATGATGGCACTACTAGCAGGTATAAAGTGCAAGCAATTAAATGTACCCGCGTAAACCTTCATCAATAACATCAGCTTCCAGGTTCCTTTCAGGAAAGGTTTCCTTTAAGTTATTGCTAGCATCAGGATGGTGATAACTGTGAGTTCCAATGGGGGATGTGTTGAACAGAGCAGAAATGTTTATGGTGGTGCAAAATTAACACTTTTATGATAAAGAAATAACTTTTAAAAATGAAAAATTTTCATAGTTGGCAGGGTTGAATAAAGACACCAGTCCATCCAGTTCCATCAGTGTGCGTGTGTGTATGTGTGTTTAATTCAATATCATTTCCCATATCTCTGTATATTGCATTCACTAAGATGCCCATCTAAGAGTTTTTGTAAACAATTGTTACTTCCTGCAGACACCACTGCTTGTGGAAGGGAGTTCCACATCCTTACTGCTCTAACAGTAAAGAATCCCCTGTACAGTTTAAGGTTAAACCGCTTCTACTCCAATTTCATGGAATGGCCACGTGTCTTCTTTAGCTCTGTGAAGCTGAATAGCTTTCTTCCTATGCTGGGATTACCATTGAGGTATTTGAGTGTCTCAAGTGTCCCTTTTCCAGGGAGAATAAGTTTAATGTTTGTAGTTGTTACTGGTAACTGAGGTCCTCCAGTGCTCTTATTAGCTTTGTTGCCCTTCTTTGGACTCTCTCCAGTTCCAGCGGATCCTTCCTAAGGATTGGTGACCAGAACTGGATGGCATACTCAAGATGTAGCCAAACCAGAGTCTTGTAAAGTGGTAGAATTGTAGTCTTATGCTTTGAGTAAATCCCCTCTTTTATGCATACTAATATTCTGCTGGCTTTGCTTGCTGTGGCTTGGAATTGCATGCCATTGCTGAGCCTATGATCTACTAAGACCCCCAGATCTTTATCTAGCCTTGAATCCCCCAATGGCTCTCCTAGCAAGTAATTTGCATTCATACTTTTAGCCCCCCCCCAAGTGCATTACTTTACATTTTTCTACGTTAAACCTTGTTTGCCATGTAGTTGCCCACCCCATTATTTTACTGAGGCCTTCTTGTAATATTTCTATATCTTGCTGTAAAGTTATTGCCTTGCTTAGCTTTATATTGTCAGCAACCTCTGAGATTGAGCTATTTATACACACCTATAGATCATTTATGAATATATTTAAACAGAATAGGTCCTAGGACAGAGCCTTGGGTTACCCCACTTACCACTCCAGACCACTCTGAGTACTCACTATTTGTAACTACCCTTTGTACAAACACTCTGGACTAAGCCAACAGACCTCAATTTGTAAATTAGGCATTTATGAGAATCCAGATACACCACATGCACAGGCCTTCCTTTATTAAGATGACAACTCACTTCCTCATAAAAAGTTAGCACATTGGTCTGGCAGGAGTGGTCCTACATAAATCCATATTGATTACTACTAAAGCTAATATTATCATGTGCAAACTCTTGGATATAGTCTCTTAGTATCCTCTCCAATAGTTTACGTACTATTGACGTTAGACTGGCCTGTAGTTTTCTGGAATATATCTTACCTTTTTTTAAATAATGGTACCACATTTGCCTTTCTCTAGTCCACTGGTACCATTCCAGTCTTTAAGCTGTCCTTAAAAATTAGGGTATGGGTCTGGGTATGACCTAGAAAAGTTATTTAAGGACTCTTGAGTGGAAGCCATCTGGTCCAGGTGATTTGTTTGTGTTACGTTTTTCATGTCTTTTATGGATACTAGCTTCAGTTTGCCACAAGGATACATTCTGTGACATGTTGCTAACAATACAGTCATGGTAGTTATACTACTCCTTTGTAAAAACTCACGAAATGAATGCATTTAGTACCATTGCCTTCTCCTTGTCATTTGTAACCAGCTTCCCCTGCTCATCTTTTATGGGTCCAATATGCTCTGACCTCACTTTCTTAGTGTTAATATATTTAAAAATGTATTGGGATTTTTTTTACACTCCTCCGCTATGTGTCTCTCATAGTCCATTTTAGCCTCCCTGATTGCATTATTACACTTCTTATTGCATTCATTGTAGTGTTGGAATGCCGACAATGACCCCTCAGCCTTATATTTCTTAAAGGCTATTTTTTTTTCTTTTATAAACCTTTTTACATTAGAGTTTAACTATCCAAGCTTAACCTTAGCTCTTTCACATGTGTTGCCCGTAAGAATACACTTGATGTTACCTTTATTTAAAGCGGTAATAAACTGCCAAAAAAAATTGCAAAACAAATCCCCAGCAAAATAATAGCATAATGTGCTAGTATGCATCGCTAATTAAATGACTTTTCAGTAGATCCAATAACACTTTCACACAATTCTTTCATTGAGTTGAACATTTGAACTACCTCCCGCCCGCTATATTGTCCAATGACGGGCGCAAGGTGGTTCTCTTGTTCTGGGAGGACGTCATATGACGTCCTCCCATTCTCACCGCGCATGGAGCCTGCAGCGCGGTGATCGGAGGTGCGCTGTGTCCCTCGGACACAGCGGATCACCGATCCATGGAAAGAGCCGAAGATGTCGGCTCGGTCATGTGATCAGCTGTGTCAAATCACAGCTGATCACATGTAAACAGGGAAATGCCGGTTATCGGCATTTCTCTCCTCACGAGCTGTCGCGCTGACAGCTCGAGAGGACAGGAGAGCCGGTAATCGGCATTCCGTGGAGGGGACATCTACACTGATCATCAGAGCACTGATGATCAGTGTGCCCTGATGACCAGTGTAGCCCCAGCAGTGCCACCTGTCAGTGTCCATCAGTGCCAGCTGTCAGTGCTCATCAGTGCCACGTGCCAGTGCCCATCAGTGCCACATCAATGCCACATATCAGTGCCTACCAGTGCACATCAATGCCACATATCAGTGCCCATCTGAGCTGCCTTTCAGTGTCACCCATCAGTGCCACCTATCAATGCCAATCAGTGCCACCTATCAGTGCTGCCAATCAGTGCCACCTATCAGTGCCAGTCAGTGCTGCCTATCAGTGCCCATCATTGCTGCCTGTCAGTGCCAGTCAGTGCCACCTAACAGTGCCAGTCAGTGCCGCCTATCAGTGCCAGTCAGTGCCATATATCAGTGCTGCCTTTCAGTGCCATCAGTGATGCCTGTCAATGCCCATCAGTGCCACCTATCAGTGTCCATCAGTGCAGCCTATCATTGCCCATCACTGCAGCCTCATTAGCGCACATCAGTGAAGGAGAAAAATCACTTATTTACACAATTTTATAACAAAAACTAAGAAAAAAAAATATTTTTTTCAAAATTTTCTGTTGTTTTTGGCTTGTTTAGCAAAAAATAAAAAACCCAGAGGTGATTAAATATCACCAAAATAAAGCTCTATCTGTCTCAAAAAAATGATAAAAATTTCATATGGGTACAGTGTTGCATGACCATGCAATTGTCACTCTAAGTGTGACAACGCTGAAAGCTGGAAATTGGCCTGGGCAGGAGGGGTATAAGTGCCATGTAGGTTTGTGGTTAAGAGACAATTATAATAAAAACAGTTAAAATTAAGTTATCCATCTTAGGCTACATGGGTGTTTTGCCACGGTGCAAATGGCAGCGGCAGGAATCTACTCATTCTACTGCTGTTGTATTTGACACCCGTGGGTGGCTAGCTTTGGCTATGGAACCCCTACACTTCAGTGACAGGTTGTCAATGACTGCAGCTATTCGTGGCTGTTCACACAGTCAGCAATTACCTGCGGTGATTGCTGCTGGACACACACAAAAATCCCTAACCAAGTTCTTATAATTCCGTACGCTTATATCCTTTGCAGTCTGCTGGCTTAAAGAAGAAGTATCACCACAACATAAAACTTGTTGTATTCCCCAGGGGACAAAGTGCATGTAACACTTGGTCCTGTTGCTCACACCCCTTTTCCCTAATTCTGTCCAACCACACTGCTAACAAGGAGACCCATACATAATTACGTATGATTGACAGTGCTAAAAACCAGATGGACCATGAGTCTTTCACTTAAAACAGCAGTCTAGCTCCCTGGCACTGTGACAAGCCACTTTCTTCCTGAAAACAGCTCCAATTCTCAGTCCTTTTGCACCCCTGTTAATTAGAACATACTTCGTGGGGCATGGCCAACTGCTGGAGTGTCATGACACTGCTAAGGATGCAGCAGTCCAACTCTCCTATGTACTGTCAGCACAGGGTATTTTAAATTTTGAGCAACACTTAGTTAAAAAGTAAAAATGCTATATTGAGCTATGCTCTTTGCCCTCTTTCTCTTTTTTAATTTGATATTTAAGCCTTCATGCATTCATTGCGCTGTACTTAATAGCGCTGCAGGATCTTCATTGTCAAGTGTCTTATAGGAAGTACATTATTAACCCTTTTCTTGATCTCTGCCTACTTGAAGCTGCATAGCAAGGATGTGGCAAGTAACACTTGTTTTTTCAAGACACGTAGATTAAAATTTGTTCAACAAAACATATTCATGATTTCATTTTAATCTTCGATTATTTATTTGTTCTATGCTATAATTTCAAAGCACATTGAGACACTACATCTCCTTGCACATTTCAGTAAAGACTGGAAAAACAGAGGGTGGGGGTTTAGAAAATAGAATAGAACTATGTTCCCTAGGACATAATAATTTTCCAGATGCATAATGGCAATAGTTGAGTCTCCGCTGCCTCTGCATGGTAGGACTGGTTAACTATAAAGCTCTGAAGGACGTGGACCGCAGAATTCTCTTTTTTGTACCTTGATCAGGACGAGTCATGAGGTACACCTTACTGCTTGTCACCCCAGCCAGGATTGGCCTCTCCTGGGTGGAAGTCCTTCCTGCACAGCTTCTAAATGAGCTATATGCTTGGAGTCCCATTCTGGTGGCCTGGAGGGCAGGACCTGTTAAAGAAAGCTTTAAACGAGCAGTGGCAGTGTCTTCCCTTTGTTTTTCCCTTCTTTTCGCTGTTTGTCAGTGTGTTTTACTTGCATCTGTTTGTGTTGTGGGTGTTTTGCCATGTCCAAGATGGTAGCAGCAGTGGCGTACACTCTAAGCATGAGCAACAGAAAGTGATACGACACACTGCGGGCAGTTTTACCTGGCTTGAACTTCTCTAAGATGGCAGTGGGAGCCAAGACCATAATCTGAGCTTACTCGGGCAATGATATCTTCACTGATGGCAAGGGACACCAATTTTAACTGCTATTAAGGTAATATTTAGGCAGCACTTGATGGTTTTCTACTCCTGCATGCTGGATGCTTATGTGGCCATTGCCTGCAGGTATCTCCATTTTTATGACATTGATCTGGGCTCTTCCTATCTCACATTTCCTTCTCTTTGTTGAAAATTCAAAAATCTAATACACCTTTCCTGGGAGAACAGCAGGCGTCCTTTTGAAGCTGCACCCATCCAGGGGGAGCCTGTGCAAGCCAGATTGAAGCTTTTCACACACACACCTGGTTAGAAAATATTGAGGAACAGTGGGCCACAATATCTATATCTGTAGGAAATTGGTTGGAGTTCAAGGGTTGTCTGCCTTCTGATCACTTCCATCCAAACAGGCTACCAGATTTGAAAGAAAGAAAAACTCAACAAGCACATAAAGTTGGAGTCATTCAAGATGGAGAGTCTCCAGTCAATTCTATTATTGAAAAATCTGAGTTGGATGCTCTCTGTATCAGATGCCTACTTACTGTATATGTCCCAATCCATCCTGCATTTTGGAAGTACCTGCATTTTGCAATACATCAGTCCCACTACCAGTTTTGATGCCTTCCCTTTGGTCTGTCCACCTCCTCCAGGACATTCACAAAGGTCCTAATGCCTGCTAAAGCTAGGGGGATAAGAATACGGCATTCTTTTTCTAGCCAGAAATTGAGAAACACTTATCCAGAATTGGGAAGCTCTGCTATACACTGCTACAAGTTTTGAGTGGCTAATCAATTGGAAGAAGAGCTTCCTCTGACCATACCAAAGAATAGTGTTCTTGGGGGCATTTGTGGATATGCAGAAAAATTCAGTAGAGCTTCCATGAGGGAAGATCTGCCCTCTGATAGAGAAAATAAAATGTGCTTTGCTCAGTCTCTTCCAGCAGGACAGTGCTTGAGTATCTTTCGGTCTTTTTCATCGACCATTCCGATGATACAGTGAGCACCGTGGTTCCAGATTTCCTTTCTCAAGCAGTGGGATGGAGTCTCTCTGTGCTAAGCGATCAACACTCCCAGGGTAGAAAAGAAATCCCTCTGGTGGTACACTCATCTGCAAAATCTGAAGAGATATCAACCAATTGTTGTTTCCAAATTGAACATTATCATGTCAGACACCAGAAAGAAGGTTAGGGAGCACATTTCAAGGAGCAGGCTGCTCAAGGTCATTGGATGTTCACAAGGCATAGTATCGAATGTTCGCGAACTAAGAGCAGCATTCAAGGCCCTCCTGGCATTTGCTCTCTTGAAAGAAGCAAGTTTTGTATTGTGCCAAGACAGGGGGTTGAATACATATAGAGGCAGGGGGACACGTCGAACCCTGATGTTGAAAGTGCGACTGTTAATCGAATTAGCTCAGATTCATCAGAAAGGTCTGAGGGAAGTCTTTGTGCCAGCAAATCAAAATCAGCTGGACTCCTTGAGCACTCCTTTTTATCGAACAACAGGTGGTCCCTTAGTTAACATCTTCAGTCAATTAACTCTGAAGTGGGGATCTCCCCAGGCGAATCTAGCGGCAACTCCTTGGAATGCAAAACTTGGCAGATTCCTGGCGAGAGTACTGTACCCAACAGTGGAAGGGGTAGACTCCTTACACTGCTGGTGGAACTTCCAGTTGAGGTACATCTATCTTAGCCAGACTCAAGCAGATTCCAGTAAAAAATAATTGCAGTTATACCATTTTGGCTGAGGAGGCTCTGGTTTCTGTCTCTCCTACAGTGGATCACGGAGTCACCACTGCCTCCGCAAGTGACACCAATCTGCTCTCCCAAGGCCTATTTTGGCATCCAGTCCTAAGAGACTACATTTGATGGCATGGAAGTTGCTTCAAGCCAGAAAGGTCTCCATGATTAAAGACTTACCAGAGAATATGGGCAAAATTTTCAGATCTCAAGGAGCAAAAAGCCTGGAATCCTTTATCTCCAGAACCAGCCCATGTTCTGCAGTTCTGACAGCTAGGATTGGACAAGGGCCTAGGTTCAAATACATTAAAAGTTCAAGTTTCAGCCTTGTCTGCACTTACAGAAGTTCACTGGTCCCTTCACTCTATAGTGATGTAATTCTTAAAGGCTTGCATGAAGTTAAGACCTCCCAGGAAACCATTGTTCCCTAAGTGGAACTTGTCTACTGTCTTTGATGCTCTATCAAGGCTTCTTTTCTATCCTACAGAATTGGCTTCACTCTGGAATCTAACCCTGAAGACTGTATTTCTGGTTGCCCCAACCTTTGCCAAAAGAGTAGCAGGGCTGCAGGATTCTGTGCACGAGGAACCTCACCTAACATTCTACCCTTACAGAATAGTCGTATAACCTTCTTACTGCTTTATCTCTAAGGTGTCTTCCTCCTTCCACAGCAAGTGAATTTATCATCTTTCTTTGGTGAAGCTGAAGAATTACATTGCCTGGATGTTGGCCTACGTTTGCCTACTTGGCAGCTACCTCTTCATTAAGGCAAGCTGAAATCTGTGCTTGGTCCCTCATGGCTAAAGGAAAGGACAGTCATCATCGCCTCCTGCATTGTTAAGACAATTAAAAGAGACAACATTTCACAATACCTTCCTATTCCAGAAGGTTGTTCAAGTAGGGCAGTGGCAACGTCATGAACAGTGAATGGCTGAGTGTCTATGTGCAAGGCAGGATCATGGTCCTCCCAGAGCACCTTCATTACAATTTATTAGGTAGCTCAGCTCATGACAGTAGAGTTTGGAAAATGTGTTGTGCAGGAACATACTTACACTACTGATCATTAAAAATGTTTTCTTCACTATTCTTATCAGGTTGATGGGGCAGAGTCTTAGCCATTGTATGCATGAAGATGCACCAGGAAAGGAAAAT